GAGTGTTCAACGTACTTAGCTATTGTTCCTAATTCAGTCCAGACAGGATTACTAGTATTCATTCACATGTGCTGCCCAATAAGCTTTCTCTCCCTCACCCCTGGGGGTCTAGAACCTGTAGGGAAAGAATGGCCCCACATATGAGACTTGTAAGACTGAAACCACAATTGTGCCTTACTCATTATCCTGGCATCTTCCTTCCTCTCAGACACCCCTTTGTGCAGTGACACAGAGGTATTATCTCAAGATGTAAACCCTGTGATCCTCACTCTCTATATTAGGACTGGTTAAATTTTGAAAAGAGTAAAAAAAGTCCCAAGTGTGAAGTCAGATTTGTGGGTAGTTTGGGTCCTAGATTTCAAATAAGGGTTTTACAAAGACTCCTATGTTCACACCACAGTCATATTTTCCCCCATCAGAACAACAGACAGGTGGAGTTGATTATGTCTATGCATTCATGTAGGTAATAGTCTTTGAACCTCATTTACATACTCATCAAAGCTCCAGCCACTGGGTGACCAACATCAGGTCAACAGTTGCAGCAGTATAAAATATTTCAGTGCAATAGATAACTGCCTTCAAAACTACAAGGATGTTCACACAGGAATTATGATAATGCTATTAATTAAAGCCGACCCTACATGGGATCAATATCCCTATTGCCAAGTTCAGCAATGGTTCACTACACTTCATTTTTCTCGGTGATGCTAGGGCTTTCTTGGTTTGAATAAGCTGCATGAGCAAGGGAGGAGCCCCCCTCTTCAACAGACATAGCTGAGGAGTTTGCACCCATCAGTCCTCCAGCATTCACGCTGTCATTACTAACAGTGCCCACTCCCCCTTCAAGAAAGGAAGGGGACAGGAAGGGAGGCTGGAGCTGCCCAACCCAGTAAGGACAGAGAGCTCAGCAGCTCAGTCCTTACTCGGGCAGCCACACTGACCTTCTAGGTAACCTCAGAAAACCTTTGAAGCCCTGGAGGCTCTCCTCCGTATCCTGGCAGTAATTCTGACCACCTCCCAGCAACAGCTGAAAGTGGCAGTAAATACAAATGATCATAATAAATAAAAAGCTGTTTGGAGAATGCTGATTAATAGCCATATAAAGGTAAAACCAGTAATTCACCATGCAAGGACATCCTAAAACTAAAGTAAAAAAAAAAAAAAAAAAAAACAGGTAATCAAATTTGCTTACACCTGAAACACAAAAGAGATATTTATATGTAATATTCCAGCAATTACTGTAGAGTAGATGCTGAGGCCACCTAATCTGTGCTCTGAAGGGAATAAAGAACTGGAAGTCACCTTTTTCCCTGAAAAGAGACGAGCCTGCCTTTTGCCTTTGAAGTAGATCAATTTTTTTTAAAGGCAAGACTCACAACTTCACTATTAGCAAGGCATTTCCTTCCCACCAAATGTCGTTTGAATGTGCAGTGTGCCTCCATTGGTTCATGACTTCTGGTGTGGCACTATTTTGGGAATCATGGAACTTTCTGGAAGTGGAGCCTAGTTGGAGAAAGTAAATCACTGGGTAGCAGTGTTGAGGGTTGTAGCCAAGCACTGATTCTTGCTTCTGGATCAGGGGCAGATATGAGCAAAGCTCACCACCATCTCCCTCCACCATAGTCATAGGCCATTCCTACCACCATGCCTTCCCCAGATGATGGACTGTTTCTCCTTAAACCGTGAGCCAAATGAAAGCTTTCCTTCAGTTGCTTTAGCTGGGTGACAAGGAAAAATAACTACTACCCTTCCCAAAGTGAACAAACCTCACTGTTGGTTCTCCAACATAATAATCCCTTTTCTCAGGACTTTCCTACAAAATTTTGTGTCTCACAACTTGAACCATCAAAGAATATGAATAAACAAGGAAGTAGTACATGAAAAATAATAGATTATACTGTTAGGTTAACTGCACTGTTAGGTTAACTGTAGAGGGGGGTGACATGAAAGACACATACTTGATGGTGAGTAAAAGGCAACCAGTTATGCTGTTTTCAACCTTTTTTTCTAGTTGCTTTTCTAGATGACTCAGGTCACGATTAACCGTTCTCTGCAGTGATGGGACATGTAGAAAAGCCCCACCTTCCCAGGCTTTGGGCGTTCTGAGCAGTTTGTCAACCATTATGGTGTGGGTAGTTTTGAATCAAAGTTATGCTAGCTTTTATAACATTTTCCATATTTGCTTTATTTCTGTCTCTGGAAGTAAAATCAAGAGCTATTTCTATGAAGGAAAACAATGGAAGTCCTCCTCCCAACTACAGATACCCACACCCTCTTGGCCAGCTCTGAAGAGCAACATTGACGCCCTCAGGAAAATAACAGCACAAATATTAGAAGTTTTATGTTCTGAGAGAAAAGTGTGAACTGTGTGTACTTAGATAAAAGTCATGAAGTCTACACCAAAGCCTCCGGAAACTTATGGACCAATTGGAGCAGTAGAAAATACCTCACTGCAATAGATCAATTCATTCAAAATTGTATGGATATTTATAGAAGAATTATGATTATGATATTAATAAAGTCATTCCTACATTGGGTCTAGAACCATAGTACCTCTCTTCCAATAAAATAAGATGTTCAGGGGACTGGAGAGACAGACCAGTGGCTCAGAGCACTTGCTGCTTTTCCAGAGAGTGGGGGGACAGCTCACCACCACTTGGGAGTCTGATACCCTCCCTTCTGGCTTCCGTGAACACCTGCCCTCATGTGCACATGCATACACACACACACACACACACACACACACAAGCATAATTAAGTATTTAAATGAGCTGTGAAATGTTCTGGGCACTCACAGGAACAGGATGGGCAGGGAAAGAGGGGCTGCTAAGGAAAATTCCAGTGTTCTGTGTGGACAGTTAGAAGGTATTTCTTGTGAAAAGAACATCTAAATTGTAAAAATGGTCCAAAACAGCAATCATGGGGATGTTAGAGTGTTGAAATCTGAGAATGGAAGAATGCTAATGACCAGAGGTGATGGACCTGAACAGGACGTTGCACGGCAGACAATGCCCTTTGCTGTGCATATTTCTAGCTGATTTCCATTTCTAGACAATTCTGTCCATACCAGTAAAAACAAAAACAACAGATTTGCCCCAATGCTGCCTCCACATGCCTCATTAACCAGACCAGGAGACCCTATTATAAGTTGGGGGGCATGAGAAAGATTTGTTTCTTTTGTTTCTAGAATAATTTATAAACCATCTGAAGAGAATGTAAATAGATGTAGCTCAGGAAGTTTTGTTTTCTGACTTTCTCAGGAGAACCAGGAAGCAGTCTTAGAGAGCATGGTCTAATAGGGTAGGATGTCCTATTATTGCTGTAGGCTTTGGCCACTGCATTAAGATTAACACTAAATGTATTACTATTTTTTAAGAGCCTGCAAGATGGCTCAGCAGGTAAAGGGACTTGCTCTATGTCCCCGCAAACCTGAATTTAATCCTCAGAACCACATGGTAGGAGAGAAACAACTCCAAAAAGTTGCTTTCTGACTACACATGTACTATGGAATACACACACACACACACACACACACACACACACACACACACACACACACACACAGACCTTTGACTGAGGCCCAAGTGTTAAACCCACTCCCTTGGTCCATTGCTCATCTGTTCATTTTATGCACTCCTAACCCACTTTCCTGATTCCTCAAGACTCACTGTGAAGAACAGGACTCCCCCTAGAAAGCCTTCTCAAGCTTGGCCTATCATGAGCCAGACACAGTTGTCATACTTTTTAATATCTGCTTGGTTGTTTATCTGGCATTAGGTGTCAAGTCCTCTGACTGTTGAGTCTAGAGCACTGATACTACAGTCTACACTTGGCCTTGCTCATTAGTTGTGTAGTTTAGGCAAGTCCTGTAATGTCCACAACAGTTGTCTCATCTCTAACAATGACAGTATCAGGTTCTTATAGAGACTGGATTGATATGTATCAAAATCCTAAACTCTGTTTAAGAATTTGATAACCTCTGGTGTTATTTTCTTTTGATTCATGTTCCTCTTCATTCTCTGCCTTTTAATTCCTAGTGTCTGGCACAGTGCATACCACCTACAGGCATCCAATGAAGGTTTTTAGGAATGAATAAATTATCTAATTAATGAAGTTATAAAACTAGCAGACTCAATAAAAGTGCAACGAGATTGCATCTCTCAAGAATACAAATAAGCAAAACATTCCAGTAACAACGCATTCCCCAACTGTATTACACAACAGCGATCAATACTGAAGAGAATACCCTAAGCTAGTCTGTAATCCTGATCTTAGACTGAATAGTCAAAGAAAGATTAAGTTATTTTCAGTATAATTTCCAGGTTATATACCATATTGCCTTCCAAATGCATCAAAAACTTACTAGAATGTTGAAATGAAAATGCTCCAGAGCCCACCATTTACTAATAAATGGTCATTTTACTATTTAGGGAAAAAAATAATTTCTAAGCAAACACAACTACATTTTTACATGCCTCCTTGACACTATGCTCATTCAGCTTGTTTTCTCTTAAACTGTTGATGTGCACAAATATTTTAATTGCATTAATTCTGGAGAAGATGGGATATCTCTTCAAATTCCTCTTTGATAGGTAGAAGGGAAATCCATGGAGCCACGGAGGACATGGAAACCAGAGTAGAAAAGCCAAGCTCACATGCAAGTGTCAATCAAGAGTATCCCTGTTAACCCACTACCTACTTTTAGCACTAAATTTAGGTCAGCCATTTGTTTGCCAGTGTTCGAGCCTCCATTTGTCATTCCTGTTGATTTGGGCGCATGGCTGCTCATCCATTTGAATCAAACCACAAACCCGGAACAGCTTGACCCATTTTCAGAGGTGCAAAAAGTTAGGTCAGCACCCACATCTGAGGTGCCAGATCCTCTGTATTAAATATGTATGGGGAGCTGTAAGTAGAAATGCTCGGACAAACCAATCAATATCTTCCATGACCTTGAACCAGTTTGCCTGGGAAGGATATTTTCATTCACAGCTTCATACCTTCAGTTCTCCAATTGAGGAAAGGAGCCCCGCTCCATACGCCCGCAGTTGACCTTCTTGCTTGCAAAGGCCAAACTCGATTGTGAAGAAATAACACTGGGAGGGGAAAAGTGAAATAGACACACATTCAGTGAATTGGCCAACACGTCCCTTCACAGAATGAAATGGCACCCACAAAATACAAAATGTTGCACTGTACATAATCGCTTTACATTTTCAAATAAATTTAAATCACGAGTATTTATTGTAATCCATTATCTTTCTGAACAACCCTGCTCTAGTTTATATACCTCAATGAACTTCTATTTAATTTCAGCACATGACTTTCTGCATGTTTTTACGATTAAAATTTTAAATAATAATCCTTCCCTAAGTTGAAAGAATATGGGAAAATTGAAAATCCTTAGGAGTCTTGGGAATCCTATATTCAGAAACTTTATGATCAAATCATATCTCCTGTAATAATTTTACAATTATCAATTAATGAGTACATTTTAGTGATGCTCCATGAGAATATGGTAATTTTACCTACCAAATTGTGTTTCAGGGATATAAAGTAGTTCAAGAAATACAGGAAAATGAGTAGGAATCTAGTCACCTCAAACTTATTTTTTAATTTTTTACACATTCCAAAGATATTTATTAAGCTGAGGTGATGACTCAGAGGGTTAAGAGCTTCATGAACAATGAGAGACTCTATCTCAAAACCTGAGATGGGCAATAATATAGGAAAACATCCAACTTCAACTTCTGGCCTTCACACATGAGCAAGAAAGCCTGTGCACACAATGACACACAAAATACACCAAAAACTAAATGTACAAATAAATATTAAATGGTATTTGTTAAAAACCTACTAGGGCAGGTGAGCTTGGGTCCTCCTGGGGACCCCTTGCCCACCCATCACTCACTCCCGCAATTTTTGGGGGGAGGACCCACCCACACAGGAAAAGATGTAAGTTGTTCCAGACCCCACCCCTGGTGTGCCCAGCTTCAAGTGAGCTTGGGTCCTCCTGGGGACCCCTTCCCTGCCCATTACCTGCTCCTTCAATCTTCCAGGCTCTGCTCCTGGCATCAAGAGAACCCACCCACACAGGAAAGACCCCCTGGCTTCAAAGAGGAAGGAAGTGAGTCCTACCAGACCCCATCCTCCACTCTCCCCAAACCCGTATGCCTGGCTTCAGGGAGACCAGTGGAGACAGAGAGACCCCCACCTGCACCCACTGGAAGAAGAGATGGGAAGATGACAGTATAAGAACACACTCTGCAATAGAAAGACCAATATGACTCCACCAGAATCTAGAGACCCCACGCCAGTAAGACATGAAAAGCACAACATAGATGAAGCCGAAGAGACAGACCTTAAAAATTATTTTATTAAGATGGTAGAGACCCTCAAAGAGGAAACAAGAAAATCCCTTAAAGAAATAGAAGAAAAAACAAACAAAAATGCATGAAATGGAGGAAAAGATCAATCAAAAAATTCAAGAAATAAGCAAATCTCTTAAAGAATCTAAGAGAGTCAAGAAAAAGCAACCAAACAAATGAAGTAAACAATTCAAACAATTGAAGGCTTAAAAGCTGAAATAGAAACAATAAGGAAAACACAGAATGAGGGGATGCTGGAAATAGGAAAGCTGGGTAAATGATCAGGAACTACAAATGTAAGTATAACCAATAGAATACAAGAGATGGAAGAGAGAATCTCAGGTGTTGAAGACTCATTAGAGGATACACAGTCATCAACCAAAGAAAATCTCAAATCCAACAAATCCGTAATATATCCAGAAAATATGGGACACCATGAAGAAGCCAACCTGAGGATAATAGGTATAGAAGAAGGTGAGGAAATGCACCTCAAAGGTACAGAAAACATACTCAACAAAATCACAGAATAAAACTTCCCTAACCTAAAGGATATGCCTACGAAATTACAAGAATCTTACAGAACACCAAATAGGCTAGACCAAAAAAAGACATCCCCTCACTACATAATAATCAAAATATCAAACCTACAGAATAAAGAGAAAATATTAAGAGCAGATAAAGAAAAAGGCCAAGTAACATATAAAGGCAGACCTATCCAAATTACACTCAACTTCTCAATGAAAACTATGAAAGCCAGAAGATCCTGGACAGATGTCCTACAAACGCTAAGGGAACAAGGATGCCAGCCCAGACTACTGTACCCAGCAAAGCTTTCAATTACCATATATGGAGAAAACAAAATATTCCACAACAAAACAATACATATACAGGAATCCAGCCTTACAGAAAGTACTGGAAGGAAAACTTCGACCCAACGAATATAACTACACTCACAAAGACATAGGCAATAGATAATCCCACTTTACCAAACACCAAAAGAAAAGGGGAGGAAAACCTACACACCACCACCAATAAATCAAAAACAAACAAGAATCATCAATCAATGGTCATTAATATCCCTCAATGTCAACGGTCTCAACTTACCAATAAAAAGACACAGACTAACAGAATGGAAACAAAGACAGAACCCATCCTTCTGCTGCATGCAAGAAATATATCTCAAAGTTAAAGCGCTATCAGCAGTCTTTTACATGCCAGCATCCAGTTATGCCAGCACCATTTGTTGAAGATGCTTTTTTTATCCATTTTATAATTTTAGCTTCTTTGTCAAAATCAAGTATTCATTAAAATCAGGGTTTTCAATTTGATTCCATTGGTCTACCTGTCTATTTTTTATGCCAATTCCAAGCTGTTTTCAGGACTCTAGTTCGATAATAATGCTTGAAGTCAGGGATGGTGATGCCTCCTGAAGTTCCTTTATTGTACAGAGTTGATTTTGCTATCCTGGGCCTTTTGTTGAGTTGGGGGAATAACAGAGGAGAGCAGGATGAGAGATACCATAATAGAGGGAGTCATTATAGTTTTGAAGAGAGATCTGGCACCAGTGAGATTTCCAAAGATCTATAAGAATGACACCAACTGGCAAACTTAGCAATAGTGGAGAGACTACCTTAAATGCCCATCCCTGATAATGAGTTTGATGACTACCTTATATGCCATCCTAGAACCTTCATCCAGTGATTGATGGAAGCAGAGGCAGACACCCACAGCTAAACACTGAACTGAACCCCTGGAAACCAGTGACAAAGAGGGAAGAGTGATGAGCAAATGGTTAAGAATGGGCTGGCGAAACCAGCAGACACAGCTAACCTGAACAAGGGGGAGCTCTTGAACCCCAGACTGACAGCTGGGAGGCCAGCATGGGACTGATCCAGACCCCTGAATGTGGTGTCAGTGAAGAGGCCTGGACAACCTATGGAGCCCTTGGGCAGTAGATCAGTATTTATCCCTGGCATACAAATGGACTTTGTGTGTCCATACCACAAAGAGGGATGCTCTCTCAGCCTGGACTCTTGGGAGAGGGCCTTGACCCTGCCCTGAATGAAATGACAGACTCTAGATATCTCCTACATGGAAGGGAGTGGGGATAGAGTGGGAGGCTGGGGAGATGGTGGGAAGGTGTAGGAGGAGGGGAGGGAGAAGGAGCTGGGATTGACATGTGAAGCAAGCTTTTTTCAAAAATAAAAGTAATAAAATATAATGAAAAAAACCTCCTAGGTGCCAATGCTTGCTAAAAAAAATAAAAATAAAAGAGACACCAAGAATATCAATATATAAATACCAATATGTCAAAACTACAGTGTCAGTATGTTTTTATAATGAAACCTTAAATGGATACCAATATGCATATGTATATTTTTTAAAGAAAATACCCAGTTGGGTGGGTTTAAAAGGATCTGGGAGGAGCTGGGAAAGGGGTGAATGTGATTAAAATACACTGAACAAGATTTTCAAAGAAGTAACAAAAGAGGAGAAAAAAAAATCTGCAGTTGCTTCTGTTGGGTTCAAGAAATCAACCCAGACAGAAAAACCTCTACCCAACTAACAAAACTCACAGTGCTGTTGGCAAGTGGCTGAAATCACACTATTTTTTCTCTAATAGAAAAAGTGAGAAACTAGCAACACATAATAAGAATTGAATCAAATTAGCACTGTCCTGCGTCCGTGGTGCTAGGACACTGAAGGTGTTGAGGAGGAGAATTTAAAAACTCTTGAAATGGGGCAGAAAATAATTATAATTTCCAGCCCACAACAGCTTGCTCTATTTTTATCCAAGGGTCGAGATGTCCTTTGATTCTGACGGGCTTTGTTTGCTTTTTAATGCAGGGATAACCTCTGAGAGCGAGTGGCCCTATACTCTGCATAACTGAGCTGCACCCAAAGGACTGGCCACATCCAAGCCATGAAACTTCACACCTCCAGAAGCAAAGCCTCCTTCCAGATTGTTGCCAAAGAGGCCAAAATTATATTCCATGCCACCAACAACTCGTCTGTAATGTCTTCCAATATGCCCCTTACAATGTCCCACGTTTACTTTTACAGTCTTCTGCTTTTTGACGTCATCTGGGATACTTTTATGCATGATAGCCACATTAAAGTATAAACTCTGCAGCAAGTATGACTTTCCATTCCTTAAAAGCAATGGAAATTCCAGCACCATTGACACTTTAGACTACATCATTCACTGTTTGGGGAGGTTAGCCGTTGTGTTATAGAATGCTTAGCTGCATTCTAGGTACCAATAAAATCCCCCACCCTCAGGATTTTTAGCAGTTCCATAAAGTGGCCATTCTGCTTGGTTTTGTGATCTTGACACAAACCTTAAACCTATTTCAGAAGATGAACTTTTACTTGAGAACAATGCCTCCATAAGCAGATCAGTACCCATCCCGAGTATACACACGGACTCTGGACTCCCATAGAACAATGTGAGGTGCACTCTCACCCCGAACTCTTGGGGAAGGGTCTAGGCCCTGCCCTATATGAAATGACAGACTATGGACACCCCCATGGAGGGCCTCACCCTCCCTGGGGGAATGAGGGGATAACGGGGGGGTGGGGGGAGGGGAGGGAGAGGGAACTGGGATTGGCATGTAAAAGAAGCTACTTAAAACTAAAATAAAAATAAAAAACATTGTTGCAGAAAAAAAAAGATTGGCCTGTAGGCAAGTTCGTGAGGGCATCTCTTGATTGGTGACTGATTGGGG